TTTTTTTTAAATCCCAAACCAAAAATAGATGTTAAACATGATGGTGTGGAAGGAAGCTCTGACTCAAAAAGCCTCTGAACACTTAATTTTCAAAGGCTGAAATTGTGCGTCGGGAACGTACTGCTTTGCAAATGTCCTGTTTCTCGTAGTTTGCCCGTGTGTTTGGTATTGGTTATTAGCGGTAGCAGGACAGTGGCCTGGATGAACCTGTAGTTTAACCTGCTGAAGGGATTTTCAACTCTTCTCTTTGTAGGGCACCTTTATAAGGTAAATGTGCCTGTTATGGTTACACAGGCCCCAGGAGACGCAAGTATCCTACATCATCCTGTTCAGCAGATATTTCAGCCCCTTGGGCAACCATCAGTTCTGCAAGCCAACGTTGCCAGCGTTGCGCAGGTGAATGCATCTTCTGCCCAGGTAGCTGCTGAAACATTGCAACGCCAGGAGACTGCTGTCCAACAGACCGTGGTATTTCAACCAAATGTCATGGAAAAAAACCACCTGGAGAACTGTGCCAATACTACATTGGTCCAGCAGCCTTCAGTGAGTCAGCAGCAACTTGCCACTAATGCAGTGTTGAATCAGCATGCAGACTCAACAGGAAAATCCCAGCAGGGCAATCTTCACACAGCTGTGTTTACTCCAGAATCCTCTGAAAGGTTTTAGGCAAACAACTCGAGCAGTGTACTGCTTGATGTGGATGTGGAGGGGCAGTTAGACATTGAGCCTCAGGAGTCAGTGCAACAGCAGGTGTCTGACGATATCATTGACCTGATTATCATGGGCAAAAGTCTGGATGATAACGCTGTTCTGAAAGATCAGGACACCATTGCTTCCTCTGACAAGGTAAGGCCTTTTACTTCTCAGCTAGTGAAAATACATCTGTTGGAGATGGTTGCTTGAAGTATTGTAAGACGTATGATCAACACATCTATAGGTGACAAGTAGCACCTCTACATTATAATAATAAAAATTATTATAATTTTAAAGTTAACTTTTGAGCTTGTTTTGAATAGCAGTAGCTGATTTGCTTATTTTTACATTAAGAATTTGTTACAAGTATTGCTGAAATATTTGGATTAAAGAGAATGTAAATCTAAAAAATGCAAAAAGTGTAGTGAATAGATATAATGTATTCTTAGACTTATTGACTATTTTCTGGGATAAAAGTTTGGGATGTTTTTTTGCTACTGAGCAGACATGAATGACCCTTGGAGAACTTCCATGTCATTCTGACACTGATTCTGCATGTGGATACTGGCCAGTTGTGGGCAAATTGCTTTTGCACTGCCAGCTGGGATTAGTTTTCACTTGTAATGTGTGAAGAACATTTAACTGCATTGAGAATGCATATTGAGTATGAAAATTCAGATTTGATAAGTGAAAATCTGCTGGAAGGAAATGTATTTCCTTGGGAAAAAATCCTGAACAAACTATAATTCAGCTAGAGCTGTATGGAAAACTTTCCTGATCTCATCTAATTTTTGTTCCAGAAATTATTTGCAGATGTTTTAAGTTCAGGCTGGCTTGCTGACTCTGAGTTGTAGTGCTTATATGTGATTGAGACAAATTTATTAAATGCAGATTTAATGACAGTAATGATAAATGACCCAATAGAAAGCATGCTGCTCATCTGAACTTTGGCAGAATGATGAAGACTATCTGTCGTAAGAATGGAAGGTCAAACAAAGTGTTATTTTCTTGAACTAGAAGGTGTATGTGGATGTGAATTAAGTGCTACAATAAAGATTTAATGAGAAACCGAAGATGGTTGAAAGCTTAAAGCCCTTTTACGCTCCTGTGAACACTCAGTTTAGGAATTCTAGCACTTTTATGAACAGTAACTTGAAGTACTGAAATATTTACTGTCGCAGCTTTTTGTATCTTATTTAAACAAAGCATTTTGATTGAGTTGAGTGAGAGGGATGAGTTCATCTTGACTTTTATTTAAAAACTGAAAAAAATGCTATTTTTGGGAGTGGTGGAGTAGCTTTTCTCTTTTTTTTTTCCCCTTTTTTGTTTTTGGAGTTTTCTTTGCAATAGAAATTCTAAAGGCCTGCTCAATAGTCCTTTTCTTAAAAAGTTGTTTGAGTACAATAGTGTTTAAAAAAAAAGTCTAAGAAAATGGCTTTCCATATTGCTGAGGAATATTTGGCATGGATTCCATTTAAGGTTAGGTTTAAGAACAAGATTTGCAAATGTACTCAAGGTTTACAAGTCGGCCAGGTCTTGAAACTCTCATTTTAGTGCCCCAGTCTTGTTGCTTTATTAAACAAAAATCTCAGGCTTTGTACTGAACAATGAAAGGTATGTGGTGTTAATTCACAAGCTGTTTCTGGTCTCTTTCATTCCTGTCAGGTGGAACCTACTGAGCAGATGGAATCTAATTTACGATCAGAGAAGGATATCTGCAGTGACATTGCAGGCATAATTCAGCTAGATGGTACTGGTGATGTTTCTCCCAAGGAAGAAATACAACATACAAAAGATAAGGAAGAGAATGAATTCATTGGCGTTATTGAACCAGAGGATCTAAAAGTTCTGGAGGATGAGGAAGACAATGATGAAGAATGTGACAGTATTTCAAACACAGAATCTAGTAGCAGTGGTGATGATAATGAAGAGCCTCAAATAGATATTGTTGAGGAGGTGATTTACTTTAAAGCCTAATGAAGCACGTTACAATAGTGTCTATCTTGATGGTTAATTGTTGGACCCAGAACAATTCCTGGTAGCAGAATGCATAGTTAAGTTACATACCTCTTGAGATAGGAGGTACTGCTGAGAAATTGCTCGAGAGCTTCTTATGAGGAGTGTGGATGAATGAAAGAGATGTTAAGAGGCCATTTGTTTATTGGATGAATTAAAATACTTAATTACCAGAATTCAGGTTCTATGGTAAAACCCTGGTCTCAGCGGAGTGGCGTTCTGCTTTTTATTTAAGTGAGATTGGGATGCAAATCTAGGTTTCTTTTCCTTCTGAAAGACCACAGGGAATTAGATGGAGAAAAGAATAATGTAATACAAGTACGTATGTTTCCTAGGAAAAGGCTTTTCTTACAGATGTGGAATTTGTATCCTAGAGATTCACAAGAGAATCAACTTGTAGCATCTGGACTTTAAATAAATAACAGTTGATTAGTATTCCAATTACTGAGGTCAGCTTTGTCAGTTAGCAGTCTTGTTTTTTGACCTGTGTTTTTGAGAACATAAGGATGCCTATAAATGAACTTTGTGCAACATGGTCTTCATAGCCTCTAGGTCTTGATTTTTGCAATGGCAACTTTTATTGTTCTAGGTGTGTTTAATGTCAGGTATATTCAACGCTATTCTGAAAGAATGTATAAAATACAATTTTAATTTCTAGGACCCCTTAAATTCTGGTGATGATGTTAGTGAACAGGACACTCCAGACTTGTTTGACACCGACAATGTGATAGTTTGTCAGTATGACAAGGTACAGTATATAGTTTTATCTTTGTTCCTTAATCATTCTAAATAATATCTTCAGCAAATCCATGTCTGGTCTACTGTCAGTGCTTTTTAAAGAAAATCTAATGCTGTAATAATTGAATGTTTAAATTACGTGTTTAGCTGACAATTGTCTGAAGGCTTACCTACTGTTTTCTGAAATGAGGATAATCAACAGGTTCATAATAGCCTATTAAAGGAAAAGGAAAGGGGACCAAATCTTGCAAAATTAAGATTTGTAATGCTGCAAAAGCTTATGCATTTCCTTCAGCCATGAATTAAGACTTTTGAAATGGGTAACAGGAAGAGGAGTGTCTGTACTTTCTTTTATGTTTTTGGTTTTTGAAGTGCTTGCTAACAGATTTTCCTACTAGAATTCTGTTGTGTCTGAAAAACGAGACCGTTGTTAAGGGCCATTTTGTCCCCCTTCATTTTAATGTTCAAAATTCAACCTTATTTTGAACTCTTGAAGATCAAATTAAGTATTTTGAACTCTGGTATGGTTTTGGACACTTTTATGTCAGTAGTTAAAAACATGCACTTTGTTTTATCAACTTTTAATTTTGAAACAAATATGGAAAAATATCTCTATAGTTTGCTTAAGAATGTGCCTTGGCTTTTATTCTTTCAAAAGTGAATAGTGGTGATTTTTTTGTATATGTTCAACTAGGCCTGCCTTACTGGTGTCTGTGTTTTAGGAGACAGGTGCTACAAAAATTGTCTTTACTAAATTGTAACAGATTGAGTGTTTCTGAAACTAGTTATTTTGGAAAATGTAGTTATAGGGATGAGTGTAGCAAATGCATCTGAAATTGAGCCACGGTGTATATTGTATTGAAAACGTACACAAAGTTTTGAAGCTTCGTAAATCAGTTTGATGTTACAGACGCTATAGGTAGTGGATATTGTTATCTACAGCAAGTTTTGTCTGTAATAAGCTGAAAAATTGGTTGAAAATTTAAAAAAACTCATAGGAAGTTCAGCACTGGACATGTTTATAGGAAATTTAAGATCAGATGTTATTTGAAATTAACAGTTACAGAAGTTGGGGGAAGATGTTGGTAACTTCCCCTTTCCTATATAGATTTAATAAAACGTAGGCCCAGTGGAAAGTAGATGGAAACAGTTATCGATTAAATTACCGTGTTGCCTATAAAAGAATGCTGTTGGCAAAATTACTATCCCATTTCTTTTGTTTTTTCCCTATTTTTTCTTTCTGGACTTGAAAATAGACTGATGCTTAAAATCCAGGGAATTTTCTACACATGTTTAAAATTCCTTCTTTTAGTATTAAACAAAAACTTTCTGCAGTATAGATTGTTTTACAGGCCTTTAAAAAGAAACAGAATATGCAAATTCTTTGTTTTGTATGGCGGTACTTGCTTTTGAGCACAGTTTTCGTGCTTTTAGCCTTATCCTAACGTCCCTGTACACCACTGTTGCTTTGCAATGTGTGTGGGAGAAGGAAACCACTGGATTTCAGCGAAGCCACACTTGTTTGCAAGGTGCAGTGTATTGTGGGATTGATACACTAGTGAAATGACTCTGTTATTATCTTGTCTTCCTCCCTGTGTTGAGCTGTCACACAACTACTTTTGCTGCTTTTTTTTTCTTCTTTTTTTTCTTTGAGGGGTGTGTGTTCTAAGATATAGGAGGTTGTTCCCTTGAGAGGGCAGAGAATTCATTATAAACAACTGAAATCTACTGCCTCTATTGAACATTCGTGGTGTGTTCAGTGGCAGTGTTTCACATGTTTTGGGCTATCAGGATTTTAAAAGAAAAACAAGGTTTGTAAACCAAGTTGTGCTTAAAAAACCTCTTTTTTAATGGATGGTCTGAATTATTTTTTTCATCAGATACATCGAAGTAAGAACAAATGGAAGTTCTACTTAAAAGATGGAGTGATGTCCTTTGAGGGTAAAGACCATGTTTTTGCAAAAGCCATTGGAGATGCAGAGTGGTGAAACCCCACTGAAGTATGTACTTTAAGACTGTGTATGTCTTAAGAGAAGTATGTACTTTAAGAACCTTTAAGAAGGTTCATAAGGGAATAATGAACCTTCTGTGAAACAACTAGACTTTCTATTGTTTTGCCATTAAAAAAAAAACCCCAAACCAAAAAAGCTGTGATAAAAATATGCAAAATCAGTGTTGTTAATACATGCAAACTAAAACATTGCATTGTTAGCTACTCAGCTGCCTTTGCTGTTCTTTTCTGATTATTTCATTACTTTTCTACCCAAGAATCATCATTGGAATGAAGAGCTTTAAAGACTGAAATGTTGAATTTGTTAGTAGTTCAAGAAAGTCATGGAATACTAAGTGACTAATTTAAGTAAATTGCAGTTCTGTTGGGTTTTTTCCGACTATTTTAAAAAAGAGCTAAAGTATGACTTGAAATATATAACTACACAGTTGTTGGTGATACTGTTTATTTCTTTTCAAAGGCTGCTGAGTTTAAAAAAGGGGGGGGAAAAAAAAAACCAAAAGCAACATCTGTGCAAGTCTGAAACCTGCAACTGTTTCAGCTGTGTACTTCTCCCCTTCCTCCCTTGCTTTTTTGTTGTTGCTTTATTTTGAGTTTTTGACTTCAGCTTAAAGGCAGACACTTTAGATGTAAGTCAGGAAGTGTGGGTGGAAGACCCTTGAGCTCTCAATATATGAGAATTATTATTGTTTATTCTATACCCTCTATGTCTACTGAGATGCAATGAGTAGTGTGATTTAACATTAAAATGTGATTTATTTTCACTGTCAATGCAAAGTCATTTAAGTTTACTTCTGTACATATCTACTACATCTACGACTACAGACCAGTAAGCTGTGAATGATAGAAATTGTGCATAATAATAAAATGTCATCTCATATACATTTCTAGCAGAGAGTTGGTTGTTTATTTATTTCCTAAATACAAACTTTGCTTAGAGAAATGTGTACAAGCCATGCGTGTGCCAGTAGCTCACCCTGCCATGAGAACTGCATTCCCAGCAGTCCTCAAGGTTAGCTTTTTGTTTGTTTCTCTAGAAATAGAGGTCAGAAAGAAGTTCTGTGCCCATAGGTCCGGGCTCTAGGCTCTCAGAGCTGCGGCTTTCCCCTGGCTAGCTCTTGTTCCTTGTGGGGCAATATTGGAAACTAAATGGTGAAGCCTCAGCCAGGCTGACTTGGAACAGGATAATCCTGCTAGAAGGGCAGTGCTACACACAAGGGTATGGCAGCCCTCCCTCCTGGCTGCTGCTTTTACATCTGGTGGAAGAAGTCATCATGAGACATTTTGGTTATCTCTGCTCCCTGGGGAGGACGCAGAGCCCTTGAGAAGGGAAATAAAGGGAGGAGTTGGAAAGAAGGAATATATAGAAGAAATGGAGGAGAAGAAAAACAACCCTTGCTCACAATGGTACAAACCCTTGTGCTGGTGGCATAAAGAATAGAGCTGCTTCCCTTGGGAGGTAGGTTTTTAACAACTACTGAATTTCTTGCATGATTTTTTTGACACATCTGCTGCTGTCCAGTGTCAAAGACAGGACACTGAACTAGAAGGCCTGACCCGAGTGTTGCATTTCTTTTGTCTTTTACAGATGCTGTTGCTGGGATGTGAAGAATTGTGTATTCAGAGACAGTTAAAACATTACAGTGCATGATTTCTTTTTCCCCATTCAGCTGACTTGTAGCCGCACTGATGCTACACTTCAGACCCATAAATGCACAGGAAATGCAGCTCTTACTACATGATAGATGCTTTTAAATTTCAGCACTCTCTTGCAGGCTCTGAGGTGTTCATGCTCCATAAATGTGTACACTATGAACTGTGGGACGATCTTCAACTTGGGCAGCATAGCAATGCTTCAGAAAAGGCTGGAAGCAGAGGTAGTGTGGCACAGGAATCCATGGGACATGACTGGGTATGCACCATTCGCAGAGCACCACGCAGTCTCTGAATGATGCTTCTGAGAATAGGATTTGTTTTTGCTAGTCCCTATGAAATGAAGTGGCTAAAGAGTACCTAATTTTTAGCTAGCTTTAAAGACGGGCAGCTTTTTCCTCTTTGCTGCATGTTTCTGCTTGTGGTGTTAAAGACTACCTCTACATGAAGGTGAGGAGTCAGAGCTCTGAGCATCCTTATGGCTGCCCATCTCCTCTCTCCCTGTCTCTTTTCAGACCTTGTTCCTCTGTGAATGGGTGCCAAAATGTGCAGATAAAAGTACTAGAGTAGGAATTCCAGCCCCCCACATCACTTCTAAGCATTACCAATTCATACTTATTACATACTTTCTACCTGTTAGCCTCACCTGCCTGTTTATTCCATTCTTGAGACACTTCTTATGCTTTAATTTTTTGCAAGTTAATTTTTATGACAGCTTGCTGCGACCTCTGTACAGTCCAAGCATTACATTGATTATATAGACTGCACATAGGGAATTGGAAGTATTTTTTAACACTGGCCTCTTATTTCTCCAACTTCTTGTAAGATTTACAGGTTGGGCACTAGTGATGTTTGTAATCCTCTTCTCCTTTTCACAAAGCACCTGTATTATCAGCAATTAAAATCTCAAAGGACTGTTTGCTATCTTTCCTCCTGAAGTCTTGCTGACAGTATACGTAGCTGGCTGTTACTCCTGGTCAAAGCTGACCTGCATCAAAAGCGGTGCCGAAGCTGGCTTAGCTTCACCATCAAGCATCCCCTGGCTTTTCATTCAGTTGCATATTCTAACCCAGCACCTTCTCGATATGAAGAAACCTTAATGTGGGGTCCATCCAGTGCCTTCCTGAGCTATCAAATACAGAAGCTTTAGGAATTAGAGTAGGGTTTTGCTCTTGCTAGCTCAACCCTTCCTGTATTTGAGAAAATGGCTACTGAATTCATAATGCTGAAGATCATCTGGCTCCCTCCAAACTACACTGCAGATATTCCTTGAGAGTGCTTGCAGTGGTTTTCCCAGTCCAGAGCCATGGAGTGTCCTGCAGCAGGACTGACTTTCATTTCCTTTCATTTAAGCATACAGGAATTGCTCTACGCTTTGTTTCCAGTGTTCTTGAATAAACATTGGCAAAGACTTACAGCTTTGAGTAAGACATTTACAACTAAAAATACCAGAAGTCAGGAATTTTTATAGTGGAAAAAATGTTTCTTATTAAAATGTAAGCTCAGTTAGCAAATTACTGTAGCCTGGGACTTAAGCAGTAATCAGATCAGAACGTTTCTGATCTGAATAGTTTACTGCATTAACGCTTGTGATTGCCTTAAGCCAGGTAGGCTTTCTTCACCAGTGCCTTCAGTTTCTATTACAGTTAAATATCCTCTGGCAGTCCCGTTTGCTCATCTGCTAAGCTCAGGAGCTGCTGTGTGTAAAGAGGTGCACCATATGGAATTTTTACTGATTGGTAAACTGTAGAGTTTTAACAGTCTCCTCTGTTCTCAATCCTGCTTTGTTCCCCATGTGTGCGAACTGCTCCCAAGTACAGCTACACTTACATACAGAGCTTGTATACTGATTGAAATCACGGTGTTAAGCTGAAGGTAAGAGAGGGTCAGAGATGTTATTTCTAATTAACACAATTATAAACTAATGATAAACCAGTCACTAGTACAAAGAGTCACTTTCATTAATGTGAAGCAAATTTAATTTGCAGTGCGGTGTTTTGGCAACAAGAGGTGTGCTTTGGATCGCAGATTTTTACTCTACTGCTGTCACAGGCTTGAAAGCAAAGGACTCAGTTGAGAAGGAAAATGTAACAGGTTTAAAGTGATTGTAGTAATACCATTTTCTTATGTATCAAGAGTCTGCAGTTTTGGTGGCCATTAAGAACTGTTAGGCTGTGACTGTTCTGCAGTAAGCACAGACTTTACCCAGCTGCGCTGCTCTGCTGACTGCGGGGGTGTGTGTTTTACACCAGCTGAGGATCTGTCTTCAGCTACCATGAGCATCATCTACAGAATGTGATCTAAGATGCTAAAACTTCTGACTACAAGCACAAATAAAACACATTTACTTTATTTTCTGTGAAACAAACTGCTGCCTGTAAGTCTCATGCTACCATATTGGTTTGATGAAATGTAAGCATTCACATGTTCCTCCCATCAGAGGCAATGTAACCAACCTGTCAAGAATAAGCAACCCAAGAGGCTTGATCTGCAGTCTGCAGCTTTTGCATCTCTGTTTGCCCACAGGACTGTGAACTTTCCAATCACTAAGCCCCTCATTTTCAGGAGGCCGGGCAGTGCAGAACGTAGCCTCCTCGGGACTGTGGGGATCCTGCCTGGCATTCGGTGCAACCTGCGGCTTGTCACTCAGTCCAGATTGTTTGGTCCATACGATGCAGGTAAGACCTTACACATCTGAATCTCCAACTTCAGTACAGCATGGTGTTCGCTCACGGCAAGTGAACTGCGTAAGGGCAGCAGCTTATTTGCCGTAGACAGAGTAAATATGCTGCAGTAACACAGGAATTCTCAGTTCTTACTTAAATTAGGAACACAGCCACAAATGTGGATCTCCTTAGCATCAGGCAATGCATGGTGAAAGAAAAGACAGATTTTTATGGGGAAAACACAGTCACTAATAAGTAACTACTCTGCTTCATCAGCTGGGAATGGAGTTGGACTGTGAGTGCTGAGGAGTCCCCAGTGCATCCCAAACGGCAGTAGCGCTGGTGATGCTGGAGAATGAGCAGATGATAATAATTCATGAGACTGTCCCTGGAGACAAAACAAGGCTGTGCTTATTTACCTGTGCAGGCAGCACAGCTATCCTGCTGCGGAGAGGGAGTCTTTACAGCTTCTGTGCGCGCACGTATGACATACAAACTACAGTCCTGTGTGCAGCAGCTGGGGTTTTACAGCTATTGCATCTCTTACGATTGCCAGATCATACGTGGTTGTGTGTGGGTTAATTTTTTAAAGTAAATTACCTACAGGCTTAGACTCTGATCTAATGTAAACTGTGAAATTGCTAGTAACAAAGGTTCA